ACCACTATCAAATATTTAAAAACCGTGAATGAAAAAAATAACTTCAGTGTCTTTAAGTTCTTATTAGATTACTCATTTTTAACCCCTGTCCAGCGTAGTACCTAGAAAAATCAAGAAAATATTTTTTTAACGAGTTTAAGTAGCTTGTTAACGATAACAGTATTATTATTGGAGGAATACACAGAAAAAGAACTTTTCAATAATAAATATTTTATATGAATACATAATTATAGTAGTGCCAAACAACATCGAACATTTGGACAAAACATCAATGAACTATGGGTTGGGCCAGGGTGGGTGCATGAACAATTATTATAGACCATACAGGAATTTTAACATAACAAGGATGTGGTAAATATTTAATTACATATCATTATATGCATTGACTTTGTGCGGGGAGGGGAGTATCAAGTGTAGCTGGGCAACTCCTGATTTTGTAATTCAAGACTTAAAAATTAAGCCTCTCAGCCAGGTGCTCTGTTATTACTAAATAAAATGCAACTTTTTTCTAAAACACGTTAAATGCGTTGGTACCTATGTGATAAATTGTGAATATTATTATTATTATACAAAAAACTAAAAGAAATTGAATTATTAATACCTAACCAGTAACCATACATACTAATCACTTATGTGCTTTTTAGAAGAAGGCCTAAAATATAACAAAGAAGGGGGCCAAAAATGTAAAAAACACCACCTGAAATTCAGTTTGTCAAAAGTCGCGATGCTTATAATAATCGGTAAAAATGGTAAAAACCAGCCAAGTAGGTGTTATGTACGTGTAGTCATAAAGGTGTAGGTACTAGATAACGTGTATTATAGACAAACATAATATAAGGACGTTACACAGTTCCTTAGATCAGTCCCAAATGTAAGGCTATATTTAAAGCTAAATTCCGTCCGATAAAGTTCCTGGATGAGTCCAGTTTCTTAGAAATATAGATACTTTAATGTTTTTAGATATTAGGCAGTCTTAGTCAGTGTAAATAGAAAAGAAAATTTTTTTTAGGACTCAATTAAGTTTTTTCTGGGCCAAATTAGAGTGAGTAAATTTGAGTCCACCATGAGACTAACACTACAGACTAATATGGTCCACATATTATACAAAAGTAAAACCTCGAGCGAATCGATCGCCTTTGCTTTGTATATTATTGTGCAGGTCCGTAATGTATTAGGTATTTGAGTATAATGCGACCGGTAAAACCAAATCCGTGTAACCCTTAAAAAATTTCCCGTTTTATTGTCGTCGACCATCGATTTATATTGTTATTGTCGGATAATTTTAAAGTCGAGTTTCAAGTGTTTTCGTTGAAATTCACTATGTCAGTGTCACGATTATAATTAATTGTAAAATTATTTTCAGTATAGCCAAACATTGCAAAACATTGGCAGAGCTATGACAAAGCAATGATAGGTACTTACTTACGTAATTAATTATTATCACCGTTATGATACAAAATGTCAACATTCAATATATTATAGTTAAAATTTGAACACATATCAGAGTTAGAAGTTAGTGTAGGTATTGTTACAATAGTGTAACGGTAGATAGATTTTCAATTTTTTCTCAAATAAAGTTTCTAAACTGTTTGGTATGTTTTTAATTATGATTTAGGAAGTTCACTATTTTGTTACATGAAATACGTTGAGATAACGATGACAAACCATATTTTTGTAATTATATAAGTATTTCATTATTTTTTGGTTATAATTTAATTTTGTTCCGATAGTATAATGTTATTTGATAAAATTTATCTTCGAGGTTTTTCTTGGTAAATGCTGAATAGAATTTGTATACGGCGTATACACTTATATTTCTAGGAAATAAAATAAAAATTTAAGTAACATATTATATTCCTGGAATAAGTTATTAAAACATTTTTATTACTATGCTATTGAATCCCTCGTCGAACAGTCTATAAAGGTATAAAGGTAGGTTATTATTTTATACTAAATCGATAATATAGTAGCAAATAATAAAGATTTAAGAAGTACAAACATGCATTTTTCTCAAAACTAATTTATTGTTTTTTGCGGAACATTTTCTCCACAGGACAGTATTACAATACAAGAATAATTATTATATATTTTAACATGTATTATGAAATGCTTAGATATGCAAACATTCATGTATCATGTAACATAATAATAGAAGAAATTTGCAAAATAAATGAAGTTTTTGCAACTGTAAATTGTAATGGCTTAGAGGTAAACAAAAATATGTTAAAAGGATCTCAGAGCACTGTTAGTATTTTTCTCTCTCTGACCCACAGAGTACTAGCAAGTCATGTGTTGCTTTAGAGGGGCATACAATTTCACAGAAATTGAAGCCGACAAAATTAAATAAATATCGGTAATAAATACAGGCATTAATGTGATAGCTTTAGCGCGGAAAATATCTAATGACGGGCTTGCCCACTCATAAGCATAACATAGTAAAATTTATGTTAGGCAGAATCGACTTTGTGTTGTTAGCTTTAGTATAAGAGTGCCTTTTATTAAACTTTAAATTAAGAACATTACCCGTATTAATACATGTGCTCTTTGCAATATTTCAATTTTGAATCGAGATATATGAGAATTTTTATTTGTCATACTTTACCTACACAAAACTAGCATAACAATTGAAATTCGACGTAAAAAAAATATCTAGATAATGTTCTTAACTTTAAGCTTGATAAATGGCCAATTCACTCTACAAAACTATAAAACCAATAGTGAAAAAGAATAGCTTTCGTGTTATGACAAAAATGGACCTATATCTGTAACAACTAAGGATTTATATAATTATATAAGCATACCTACACATGCAATAGTATAATGTATGAAGTAGTGGCTCAGAAGGAAATCTAAATGGAGGATGAAAATGAAAAAACCTTAAGAAAATTGAATATGTATTGATTGCACTAGAGTTAACTTTTATACTTATCAAATGGCTAAAACAAATTATATTAAGTACATCCCACCAGAATAAACAACATTTTTAATAAGGTGTATTATTTTATTACATTATTATTACATATTATTATTATTTATTATCGTGTCCAAGTCCAATCCAAAACATTCATTCCCCAAGAAGATTTTTTATAAAAACAGTCAATATTTATTTTTATAAATTGTAATATTTGACAAAGATATGACTGACTAAGTGGAGGAGGAAGAAAATCTACTTACCCCGACTGATCCACTGATATAAATGAGTGATTGTTATATACATATAAATGATAGTAAATACATAAAGTCTAAAATATCTGTATTTATTGTTTATTTATATTTTATATACATTATACATATTACATTATGTATATTAATTTGAACATTCGTTTAAAAAGCTGAGTTTAAAAATAAATTTCAATGACATCGAGATGGTGCAGTAGAGTGTAAACTGTAGTACTGTACCATGAGTTTGTAATATATGTCTTAATATGCAATAACATTTTAATATTATGTCTCACTAAAGTGATTTGTTCTATAACTTGAAAAATATGACTCTAGTGATTTTTTATTCACTTAACTCAATTCAAAATTTCAAACTGTACTCGAAAGAATAAGTACCAAATTTTCCAACTCTGAAATCTAAACGCCGGTGACCAAGCATATAAACTGTGGACTTCACTGGTGTAGGCCGTAGGGCGACAGTCATGCAATGTAACATTTATCATTTTCAATTAAATAATAATAACCTAATGGATTATTGGGCCTTTCCTGGAGGGTATTCGCTACACCCCTACCAGCTGATACTCCGTCCGTCTACTGCACTTTGACGTAATGTATTATTTCATTAACTATGATTGTTTATACTGCCTAATATTATTTGTCCCCTTAATCAGTTTTGGCGATTAATCAAAATCATCAATAAATCAATTTTAGTAAACGCTTTAAATGAAAGAGAAACTAATTTTATGGAAGTATAAATTACATCTATTCTGCAGTAAAAAATGATTAATTTTCTTCTAGGTGCCTATAGATACTGTACAAGATATATCAGAAATATTCATTTTCTCTAAGACAAATGTTACACTCTGCAACTGGTGCAACAACGGTTGTTAACGGATAATTTACAATTTTTACATATTTTAAGATCGACGACATAATTTTTAATTTGAAATACAGCGCTTCTTCCGATGAATCTTCAATCTCTTTGAGGGGAAATGAGCAAGCGGGTGGCATCGAATTTGAAGCCAAAATCTCATTAAAATCATTATCATGATAACATGAATAATGCAACATGAACATGATATTATTAAATTATGTGGGTTTGTGAGAAACAAGCGCGGTGTGTCGTATTAAAATATTTGAAAAACGTCTGAACCGTGTAATATGGAAGTTATTCACCTCAGCGGGCGTTTCGTATGAACTGTGTTAAATTATATTGAATTGTTATTATGTTAGGTATATCATCAATTCCATTGTAAAATATAGTGTAATTATTTCTTATATACATTAACAAGGGTGGAATGTTGACTATGTAGGTGTAAAATATTGAAAACAATAAATTGTGTGCGACGCAGTTGCAAAATAAATGCGTAATTTGCAAACGACAATGTACGCATAGCGTGTGGTACATATTTTTATTTAAATTTTGTTTATTATTATTTAACATTCAAGGGTGATAAAAAATTATTATAAATTTAACCGTGGTCTATTTAACCATAGAGTCACGTTACTTTTAGGGTACTATATCTACGGTATACGTTCAATTTGCACGCATTCATGTTATCTGAATTATTCATTTATAAGAAAAAACGCGTATCCATGGGCTATAGTGCAAGGAAAATATTATAATATTTAATATCGACTCGTATGGTTATTTATTACAATAATTATATTGTGTGCGAAACAACAAAGTATAAATAAACATTTTCGGCACTACGACAGACGAGTGCCGCAGTACAATAGATAATAATGTAACTACGTATATATAGGTATCGAAGGCCAAATAATATAATATTGTACTTAAACATAATACGTTGTAAGACGCCGTGGACTTTGTGTTGCAGGTTTTTGTGTCAATCGCTGAAGGAAAAAGTCAATTGTTATACGCTGTTTGTATCGCAGTACGGCTTCAGCGTTTCACCGAAAACTATGATTCCTTTCACGGAAGATTCGTGTATCCTTTGTATTTGCTTTGGGATGTGTTCCACGATAATATTATTACAATAATATCAGCACAGAGTGCAGTTTCCGGGAAAATTCTGAGCGCACATATTGGTATTATATGCGTATACTCTGTGTACCTATTATTATAACACTTAAAATGTAATAGTATCATATAATATTATATTATGTCTTATACGTATTACCACGTCCATGCATCACGGCTGTACTTTTTAGCTTGTTTTAAAACGTAGCTTTATCCACTCACGGTTTGAATCGGCCAATGGATTTTATTTTTATTTTGGATGCTTTAGCATTTTTTTGGTTTTTTTGAATTTTTAGGTCATTGTTAGCCTATTATATGCATACATTTTTGTAAGCAAATAAAAATAATTGAAAATAAAGTTTTTTCTAATTTGATTTTGATTTTTTAATCCATTTTTAAAAGGTTTTTAGTAAATTTCGGGATTGATAGTTTTAAATTTGTTGAGGTTCTTACTATATTAAATTCACGGCCCTAATTATCGTTATATCGAATGCATCCTCACCAGTGATGTATTAGAGTCGTGGATCGACCCTTTGGAACTTTTTTTTTTGGTTTTCAGTCATATTGGGTAACAAAATTACTGCCAAATTAGCATTAAATAAAATTCATAATGGATATAACTGTGGAAAATCTTCCAAGAAGTTGATTAATGTGTGGTTAAGAAGGGGCTCTCTTTATCAATACTATATTTATTAAAAAATGTAAATTGTTCAAGAATGTATTATGTAAGTTTCTGCACGTGACATGCCTGAGTAGAAAAACAAAACCATCCATATTATAATAAAATATGTTGTGTACACGGGTGGATTGGCAAAGAAAATGTCATTGCATGTTACTTTTACATTTCTGGGCATTTTTTTATTTATTAATTTCTGTATTTTCCTTTTTATTTCTAAAAAATACCTTTAAAAAAATGTATGACGATTAAATAATTATAACAAATCACTGGCAAGTATAATAGAAATATAAGACAATAATAAGGTACCCTAGCTTTTATTAGTAGCTTGTATTGTTATGCTTTAATAGTTAGATGCTTTTAGTCTTAAGTACGTAACAAACATTAATACTATTACCTGTTTCTATATACCTAGTTATATATACTTAAGAACTAATTTTTAGCTAAACATTTTAAATCAATGTAATTAAAATTAGGTATTTTTAAAAATAAGTACAAATTTGATGCTACAACAAACATCAATAAACATATTTATTAGATTTATAAACTATGTTATCAATTCAATTATAATCAGTGATCAGCAATCAGTGAGTATGTACAAATATGCACAAACGGTATAAGTACAACCAAAATAAGTTTAGTGAAGAAGTTACTCAAACTTAATGAAAACATGTTTAACCAACTATGTTGACATCTTAAATTAGGTGGGTACCCATAAATAAAACATAATGTACGGCGTACTATAATAATATACATTCTACACCACATTATTATCTGATAGAACCCATACATGTGATAAAATCAGAATATTAAAATTTAAATAACTTTGAAATATTAACATCTCATACCGACTTTTTATTTGAGCTATCGTCTTTTAAATTAAATTGTATATATATTAATTAAATAAACTAAATAATATTACAAGATTTTTAACAGTAACCTATAAACCCACATTTCAAACTAAAAATTAACCATCAATATAGTATAACACCTCTGAAATTCATATTTTGAATAATACCACTTTTAAAATAAAAAAAAATTACAATTTAACGGATTTATGTTAACATTAAAATTAAAATTTTGAATTTCTTGCTAATTATTATTATGCAGAGAACATAATGCAAATTATTTATAAATTAGAATGAAAGAAAATTAACTATACTACTACAATAAAGTTCTTATTGTAAAATCTCGCTAAAAAAGAACTGGAACCAAACTACCTAATATTGAAAGTATCCATGTATACGACGGATAGCCTCAGTAGAGTTCCCATGGATGAAGGAGGGGGGCTAAAGGAATTTTCCTCCCAGACATTTCAGAAAAATGTAAAGCTGCTTTCAGTGTTCTGTAAGCTTGTAATATATGCAATTAAATTGTAATTTGTATGAAATGAACCATGAAGATCGCCGTAAATCACAATAGTTTTAAATGTAATATATACCCACGACATCAGCATAATACCAAACTTATGAGGGACCTATAGTTAGGACTCTTCTTTGTAAAAAATTATCAGCGTCCCATCACCCCCTCAAACAATGCTGCTTTTATGCCACTGCATATAGCAGTATATAGGAACATTATAATATTTTAATGTATAATCAAAACTAGGTATTAACTAGTTTAAAATTTTAAAGTATGTAAGTCACTCTGAACTAAGTTATACAATGAGCTTCTTTTTTAAAAGTATTTAAATCTTTAAGCATATTTAAAAGTGAATTCTAACTTAACGAGTTAAATTTGTCTATAATATACAGTTACCAATCTATTGGTTAATCGTTAAAAAAAAGACAAAAATTGACTAATAAAATGGTTATATTCCCATGACAGTTCATATATATATTGTTTCGTAAAAAATAAAATGTTAATCGGGAATAGGTATTATTTATAAATATTATAATATTGTACCAATGTATTGTAAATACGAAATTGTAGTCCCTCAAAATGTTGAACTCACTATTTCTGGATTTCAATAGGGATCAAAATAATATCATATAGAAATACATAAGTATTCATAGAAAATTACAATCTCATCTAAAAATTTAAAATTTCACAACACCAACACTCCTGCCAGATAACCCAGTTTGACATTTAAAGAGATTTTTATCTTTTAAAAATTAACCTAAATAATTTATAACCTAAATAATTTATAACTTTCATATTTCATCATTATCAGTTACTAAATAACTTTTAACTTGAATTTTTTCTATTTATTAACTTAACTTATTTTCTGCATTGATTTATTGAAGCGGCCAATGACGTATCTCATGTAACTATTTATTCCATATTATATTCGATGACGTCATGACGAATCATAACCGATTTGATAGTTTTTGGTATATTTGCTTAATCGCGTTACCGCCACAATATTATATATATATATATACCTATGTAGTGCGATTCGAATTGGTCGGTGGTTGTTTGAACACTCGAATAACCTAAATATCGGATTGATTGCACAGGAATAAACTTACCAGGATTTGCAAAAATTTAAACACCGCGTTCGTTTTGTAAAGAGAGTTTTGAAGGTTGAGATAAGATGAAATGTGATAGAGATGGAGTGGACTGTGTACACCACCTATACGCGTTATCGAGCAGCGTTCCTATATTGTATGGGCGATGATGTCGGCCAAGGACGGCGCCAGGCACGAGGCGAAGTGGAGAAGTTGGTATAAGTATGCTGCAAAATTCGAAATTTGAACTTAAACTGTGCCATGTTTTATCATCTGTAATCTGTTTTAGTTGGTAATTCATAACGTTATTTGTTCACGTTTCATCGATTGTCGCTGTAAAGTAGGTATATAAGATCTATTTGGTATATACCTGTACCTATATAATATACATGCTTGGACGCAATATCAATTAAATAACTGGTTGAGCTTAAGCTCCCTATTGTTTCAGTTACTTAGTCTTTTAATCATGGATTAAACGACAGTGAACAACTTCACCCCCTCCCTCAGAATTTAATAATGGCTCTGTAGTTTGTACCAGCTACTGAATCTATAAAATATTAATATTAAGTATTAACATAAAATAATTAACACTAATTTGCACAATAAATGGTATAAATTATGAAGTTGCTAATTTCAAAACTGTGGGTACTAAGTACACCCAAACCCTTCCCTCGATTCTACCTATATTATGCCACTACGCGTATTTCGACTAAAATACATATCAAATCTACGTAGGTGTGTATTATTATTTATTAGATGCCGTACTAGTGTACTACCATCTACATTTTAGTCCAAAATTAAAATATATACCTTCACACCGGATGAACTCCGCACAACGGATAGACATATACAATGTCACAGGGTACCTACGAATAATGTATGTTAGAAATGAAAGTTATAAAAAAATCGCTACGACAGAGAGTCTTGTTGGAAAATTGTTCTCTAAATAGAAATCCGAGCATCGCATCATATATTATAATAACGATGGATTTCAGTAATGCAGTTGTTATGTTACTCTTATTATTGTCACACAAGAGATCTAGACATTAGGTGTGATTCACAAGATATTTTGATATTTATAAATGTCACTTGTACACTGCAGACTCGTGTGATATTATCGGTATTATATTTACGGTCGAAATGTGCGTTATATACCTCTATATTCTATATGTACCTTTTGTGTGCTCCATACGTGGTTTCAAACCTACAAAAAATCACTGTAGACAAATTAAGATCTATTGTAGGCGGCATATTATACTATAAATTTCTTAAGCCCTGTATGCGTACTGAAACGTCTAAAAATATATGAAACAATATTTATTAAATTTATTAAATTATTTAAAGGTCATAATGTCCAGTAAAACAGTAACGACATAGAGGTAGTAATACTAAAAAATAATAGAACACAGTTTTAGAAATAACAACATACAATGAAAAACAAAGTAAATGAATCATTAATGTAACGGGAGGTAGTGATAATATTAAAATAATGAGAAAGTTTAGAATATTGTAGTTATGGATTTATTATAAAAAATAAAGTAAAGGATATGCTTATGTTTTCTATATATTGTTTAAGTATATACGCTTAAAGCATTACGGGGCAAACAATTACTGTGGACGAATTGATAAACATCGAATACGCATAAAAAAAAATTGGATTTTGCATATGAAATCATATTTTAGAATCGAGGGAATTTTATTTACATTATGTGCTCATTTTTCGTGTTTAAGTATATTTTGAAAAATGTAAATAGATATAATCCCATTTTAGTTGTTTTTATTTTTATTCAGTATTATCAAAGAATACCATTAATTATGTAATTACCGAAAAAACCCCTTTCTGTGTGTGTTGCACAGGTATTAATGCATATTTAGTATTTACCCATTGTTTTATTAAATTAGTTGAGTGCTTATACAATGACAGAATTCTAGACTTTAGAAAAAAAACTTTTTTAATATTATACAATAATATTGCATGAGAGAATATTAGAATATTTTTACATCAAAATACGAAATAATTTATACCAGTTGTTTGCAAGTAGCTACCTTGCCACAGTATATACCTTCTTTGCTATAATTTTTTCTATATTTTATGAACTTCATAAGCATATTTAGTAAAATATTTCAAGATTCTTTATACCTACTACATGATTTGAAAAAATACTAATAATGGGTTTAATATAATTTAAGACGATCAAACACAATATGATTTTCGTATATACTTTCCTTACATACGAGTACCGTTACAGTTTACACCATCGGCCGGTGCGTGGTGCTTGCGTGTTCCGACTACTTCAAATCGACCGGCGTGCTGACTCCGCAAGACGCCGCCGTTAAGTGCGTCAAGAAACGAGATAGGAAACGGAAAACCGTGTTGTACCGGCAGCGTGAGGCTCACCCGTCGTTCAAGAGGAAAATCAAAAAGAAATCGCTAGCGTTGAAAAGGGTGGATATAAAGGACTCGTTTCGCAGCATTCTAACTGGCTCGCGGCGCCCGTCCGAGGATCCGAACAGGACTAACGCCAACAGGCGGAAAATGCGATTCGTGGACCTGTCGAAGACCGTCGACAATCGGAGATCGTCGATCGCTGCGGACCGCGAGAACTCCGCCGCTCCACACGCATTTTCGATCATAAACGTCAACGACATCATACGAGACACGGACGCTTTGCTCAAGTTCTGACGTGCTGGCGTCTCGTAACTTGTGTTATAATCATAGACTCGTAGAAATAGACGGTACATATTACGTGCCCAGAGAACTGGAAAGCGTTGCCGTGCCAAAAGGATTGAGAGAGATAGCTTGAATTTATCATAAAAGTGAGAGGAACGGAAGTATATACAGTTCCGAAGACAGTCAATTCGTTATTGGTACTCGTAACAAGCTCCACGAGCTATACTTACACGAGCGCATTATCATACCTAATTTTTCGTCTATTTCCATAAGTCTATGGTTCTAATACGAGTATACAACCTGCTGTAGTATTAACCAACATGTCATATGGGTACCTAAATATATGGTGTCAAAACCGCAGGAGGGTATTGAGAAGGGGAAGGACTTATTTCAAACACCCTGACCGAATTTTCACTGACGTGAGCATTTTTATTTTTTTTAAGGACACTTCGAACGTTTTCTTCGTATTATCTCTGCAGGATACCTGCGGCAACGTCGGCACATGTCTGAATGGGATGTCGGCGGGGTCTCTCCCTAAGTCTTTTTTATATATACGTATATTTAGTTTTGGTTGAGCTGTAATAAATTAAATTGTTTCTCTTTTCAATATTTTCAGCGTTTTTCCTTATTATGGCTAGTTAATTTCTGTGTATGTTAGGTTTTTAAATAAATGATGAATTGTAAAGGTATAACCTATACAAACAATTAAAATTAAATCACGTAATACTTAAGACTTTTACTACCTACCTATGCAATTTACAAATAAAAATTTGTTTTAAAAATCATTATTAAATGTTATTATTATTTTATATTTTGATATATAAGTATTTTCGGAGTTTCATAACTCGCCTCAATCAGGAACACAGAATCCACCACTGACTTTAATGTAATAATATTATATCCATTTTGTATAGCGATTATAATAACAATTTATTGTAATTTGTAATGATTCTCCCTCCGACAGAAACTCTAGTGGTTCCTCTTGATTATAGTTTATAGTTTATTATGTGACATATACACACTTAGTGAAATCGATATTTTCAAGGAGTGGAAATCCACTCCGCGAGATAGTTGTTAGTCCCTACGTTGGAACCGTCTATAGGGGTGGTGCAATTTTTTTTAAAATTATTATTAGATATTAGCATTTTTTTTACAAAATAGATAGAATAATTTTATCCGAATAGTGTAATATTTGTAATTCGATCGTTGATAATTTAATGTTTTACTTACATATTTATAGTTAACTTAAATAAAAACTAAAATCAATTGTTTTCACATGATATAATTTTTAATACTTTGTTAATTTTATAATAAATTATACAGGCAACATGAATATTGTTTTGTTTGTTTTTTTATTTCTCCTGACATTTTTCACATTAAACTTCTAATTTAATGAAATTTAATGAAAAAACATACAAATATACAATATTATGGAATAATATGCACTATGTAAGTATAATAGTTTTAAAGAAAAATATAATATCATGTAAATAAGAGGAGATAAAATCCCATGAAAAAGTATTAATGTTCATACTTTATAAAGAATGATGAAAACGTGATACTAATTATAACCATTTGTGACACATTAATTGTAGCGTTGGTAGGACCAAAATCTCAATAATTTTTCTTGTTATTGACAATCTTAAAAACTTTCTGTGCTTTTCAAACAACAATGTTCGTTCAATAAAATAAAAAAATATGAAATAGAACGTAATTATTGCCATTACTCATCGTTTCTTCAACAAAAATATAAAAATAAAAATATACGTACCTAGGTATATATTATACTGTAATAAATATACGATGTAACAAATTAATACTTTTTATTACTTTATACATTAATACCAGATGAATGAGCTTACAAACAAAAATGCATTTCCAATTCCAAATTTTAATGGAGACGTATGTAAGACAAATTATAAAAATGGAGAATAATATTTTATTTTAGTTTTATCGTTTTTTAACTAATAATGTAAGTAGATACTTTATGCTATCCTTATATAGCCTTAAGGATACAATATAATTATTCATTTTGAAGTTTAAATAGGAAGGTGTAGGCCATTTATAACTACGATGATAAAACAGTTATGTTATGTTACAGTTATGTTCTAGGTTATATACCAAAAATACATAATTATTTCTTTGACTGGACAATCTAACACTCTCGAAAATAAAATTTTTGTTTTTCTACTTGATTCTCATACTGATCCCGTGGAATGTGGGTGGAAGAAGGCTGACAAAGGTTCACGTGAGTCTGTGAACTATGAGTGGGATTAAGATACGTAGGCCAAAAAATATCGGCCCTCTTGGGAATATTTTCAAGCTACGTGCCTGTCCTTTTAAATAAGTAAGGGGACCGCAAGACCACAGTTAAGGATATCAAAAATTCTACTTGTGACTCCTTGACTCCTTATGGTATAAAAAATAAAATAAAACAATAAAAGTTAGGCACCTAGCAAAAAAAAAGTAGTGCTTTGTCGTTGAAGTGTATATAAATCTAATCACTATTATAATACATATATGTCATCGTCATGCAAAAACTGACCAAGTGTAGTTTTATAGTTTTAGGTTATATCAATTTTACTTTTAGATATGCTATGAAAAATTCAATTTTTATCCATTTTTTTCAAAATTGATATCATATAAACTGTAATAATGTGTATAATTAATATGTTCAATAATTTTTTTTTCAATTTCTTTTGTTTTAAGCTTAAATTGAAAAAATTTGAAATTTAATATGGGTAAAAAATGACTAAGTGGCATTTTAAGCACTTGGTCATTTTTTCCCTTAATATACTTTTTTCCATTTATATTTTAATTTAAATTATAATGTAATATAAAATGCACAATGTACAACAGCATGTTATTATTATTAACAATGGTATAAACATACAGTATTGGAACTTGGAAGGTAACATGTGTTATTACCTAATTCTGTTATTAGGTATTATTATTTAAATAACATTAATAACTATTTTAATCCTATTGAAACTGTATAATTACTAAAACCAAATCTTAGTTTTAACAGTAAATATTATTCATTATAAATAATATAACAAAAAATAAAAATAAAAATAAAAAGATAACTTTGTTTTACAATAAAATAACAAAAAAATAAAAAATAACTTTCAACCTTGTTTACAAAAAAAAAAAATAGTTAATTCATAATAACTAAAATATGGTATGCTATTCAGAATTTGTTTTCTGTGAGATTATTATTAGGTAGATCTATCTGAGATGGTCCAGTTACAGATTGTGTATTAATATCAGTTGATTCTAGTATGTTCAGGTCTTGAACATTGTATGAGGTAATATTGTTACTATAGTTTTGATAATCAATGTCAATTGATTTTGGTACTGTAATTACATCATTCAGAACTATAAAAGTGTAAAAAAGTTATAATATTATAAGTACAAAAATAGTGATTATATTAAAGCTTAATTAATTATAAAGATATGAGTTTGTTACCTGCTTATTTTAACAACATATTACTTACATATTTTCATAATAAAATTCTGTGAACTTGAGACTTGGATATTATTTTCTAAATGCACTATTGCACAATCTTTGATTCATTGATTACATTCAGAGATTGAATTGTTTGAGGATTAGCATTATTTGATTCTATATTTTATTTAAAAGGACAATTAATTATAACATTATGATTTTATTATAATATTAATGCTATGAAAAAATGGAAATACTTCATAGGTAGCAGGAAATTAAAATATTACTTACTGTTATTACTTTTGCACAATGCAACAAGCTTTTTACTTCGATTATTCATTTTAAATAGCTGTACTTCAGTGAACTAAATTTTTATTTTGATGAATAAAATATAAAAACAACTAACAACTATGACAAGTGAATAATTAAATAAGTTTATAATATTATCAATAATATTTTGGGTGATAATAATATCCATGTCACGTGAATTATTACAATAGATTTGTTATTTATAAAATATAGATATTTATAATTTCCTATTTTTATACGTCAATCATTATCAATATTTTTTACTTTTATGATTATTATTTATTAATAATTTAATGACCAAGTACCAACTGTACAAATCAAACGTTTTTGGTACACATGTAATAAATAACTAAATAGCTTGGTCACTTTTTGCTTAAACAATATTTTTATATATATTTAATATTGACATGCGAAAAGTGACTAAATAACTTGATCACTTTTTGCTAGAAAAATACTTACGAAATCTGCAGTTAGTCAAAACTGCTTTTTTATATCTCGTAAAATATTAATCATATCACTTGGTCAATTTTTCCATACAATAATATGGTTGAAATAACCCATTTTATAATATTATTTCACTTGGTCACTTTATGCATGTAGTCATTTTTTTTTTTGACCTAACCTTATATACAGCAATAGTTATCAGAATATAATGGATATTTTACCCGTATAATGTAACATTTAATTGACTCTACTAATAATTTCAGTAATTTCACTATTAGTTTAATAATATTATAAACAAACTAAAAAGTGAATTAATATAGTGAAATAAACAATAGTTAAATATTTATAATATTAATAAAAAAAGCAAATATGATTATACAAATAATCTTGATAAGAAAAGTAAATTAAATTATGTGTTCACTAATATCTTTATACATTAAAATAGTAAAATTTTAATTCAGAATTTAATTTTCTAAAAATTATATTTTATATCAGATTTCCTACCGGTAAATTGTATTAGGTACAAGCTACAATAATTGTAATACCGGCTTGAACATTATGTGATACCTATTATATTTTACATCAATATTTTTGACAAAACAGCGCTTTGGGAACTAGTTTCTTATTGATATTGTTTTATGGTTTTGGAAGTCAATTCAAAAAGATATTTTTGGCTGCTAATTTAATCGCTAGTTTTGAATTTCTATAATATTGAGAGCAAAATTGGATTTTCCCTGAGTTACCTACATACCTATGTAATATATCTATATATTTGAATATGTACGACTTATGTATATAGGTTAAAATTATTAGCATGTAGAACCTGGAACGATATTTTTAAAGAAATAATGGCGATGGTGCCAGGTATACAAACTACATCCCCATTTCAACCACTTATAGGAAATATTTGGATCGCCCTCAAGATTTATTGCATATACGAACGAGTGGGAAGCTATATAATAGGTATACCAATAGATAAAATGTTTTTGTCATCAAATTAACTAGGGCGTGTTATGATATATTATACAAATTATCTTATCGTGTACCTATGTTAAAGTACATAGCGTATTCATAGAAGTTACTGAAGTGAAACTAATATCTAAATCCATCATCACGCACTAAGCGACCTATTCTTGTAAAATACTTGTGACCCTCAAGTATAAAAGTCTTTAACTAAAAATACCACTGATAGTTGGCTGACTTACCTAATCCTAACTTAGGTATATCTTTTTTTTTTACTAATTAAATGCAGGTAATACGAACTTTAATCTAAATGCGAATTGCAATATTAATATAAAGGCACAGTTTATTTGATCGAGGTTTCGTCCTTTATGCTGGATATTAAGATAAAATATAGAATATACATTATGTACCTGCCTACATATTATTTAAATATAATAGTATACTTATTATGTACTATACTCACATAATATATTGTACACAACTACTATTAAATGTATTTATATTTTTATTCGCTTAACTTCAAAAATATTTGATTGGTGACCTACTTATTTAAATTAAGTTTAGTATAATTAGGGATGTATCATGTATGTAGGTACATTCACGATGAATGAATACAATCAAGGGTCTTCCTTGTTTACAACCATTATTAATTGTGTACACTATTCTTTAATATAAGCTTAATAAAAATCTAATAAATCACAATTCCCTACATTTGTTATGTCTAGACAATTTGTTTTTTAAAATCTTTTTATAAATCCATCCTTGAACACAATTAATGATTGAATGCGAGTGGACTAAACAACTCAGCTCCCTGACCGACAAAAAACAAAATTAGGCTCTCATTGTGGTTAACGTACCTAATACTTACCTGTTCGGTATTTTTATCGATTTCAATTTATAATAATAATATGTCACAACATTTTTTATGGATACTTTTAGAAACATTTTACTGTGGAAAATATATCTTTACAAATGGCTGACTTTCCAAGTAGGAATACCTGCAATAATAATTCTT